TACTGTACTTGAATATCACACATACTCTTTGGCTGTAAACGGAAGCCCCTTATACAAATGCTGCACAGCTATGAAATCAATAGGGTTGGATCCTGCAATTACAGAGGAAAGGAGCTGCGGTGGCTCAAGTGGTTAAGATGCTGAACTGCAGGCTGTGGAAGGTCAGTAGTTCAGCAGTTCAGACCCGAGTGTGCCGCATGACGGAGTGAGCTCCCGTCTCTAGTTTCAGCTCCTGCCAACCTAGCAGTTCGAAAGCAAGAAATTGCAAGTAGATAAATAGGTACCGCTTCGGTGGGAAGGTAACAGCGTTCTGTGCGCCTTGGTGTTTAGTCATGCCGGCCACATGACCACGGAAACATCTTCGGACAGCGCTGGCTCTTCGGCTTGGAAATGGAGATGAGCACCGCAACCCTAGAGTCGGACTCGACTGGCTTTCGAGCAAGGGAAACCTTTACCTTTACCTAGCAGAGGAAACTGTCCCCTGGTAGAAGGAGCCTCCAGACGCAAGATGTTCAGACGAGCGTCTTGCATTATCCATTCTGTACACCAAAAAACTACAAGTCAGGAAAAATTGTTCTTATTGTTGTAATGGTGTTTAGTCTTCCCAAGGCTGCATGGAAGCTCTTCTTTGGACACTAGTGGGCCGTGGTCACACACACTAAAAAATTCACTTTCAATGCGCTTTCCAACTGGATTTTGGCAGTTCACACAGTAAAATCCAGTTGGAAGTGGATTGTTTAGTGTGTGTGACCACAGTCAAAGGGTTCCATGCTACGTATAACCTTTTGTTGCTCGTGTTTAGAAATACTTTGCATCCTTGTTTTATGAAAAAAACGTGCGGATTTGACGACGACAATGAGAAATAACATTCAAAATGGATTAGTGAGGCCATGGAAAAGCACCGTTCTGTAGAACATCTCTCTGTCTCTCAACACAGCAAAGCTGACGACTGATCAGTAAAAACCCAGATGATCGATTTAGGTAGAACCCCATAGATCTTTACAAGACGTTACTTAGAATGGAATCGACTCTCTGGGACTTTAACGCCAGGAGGTCATTTGTGGGTTCCCTGTCCCTTGCAATCCTGCCATTCCCCCCCCCGCTTCCTCATGCGGTACGGCCGCCACAGAGGAGCAGGAGACATATCTGTGCTCTTATTTCGCCACTGGGTGCGTTCCAGCTGCCAAGGAAAGCAGAGGCTGCAGAGAGCATCAAAGAGTGCGGGAATCCGGACAGTCTTCGCTTTTTTACCTTTGCCCCTTTTATTTGCGTGCAGATTTCGCTCACCCAGTACTGCAGATCTGCTGGAAGGAGAGACAAAGGTAGGGACAAATTAGATCTTGGGCAGACCGCAATTGTGCCACATATCCCCAAAACAACACCCATTTTTAAGGGAAGATGCTTGATCTAGATGGTGGCAGGGTGTGTGTATGTCTTGGTCACCTAAATCCCACGGCAAGGGCCCCGCTGTGTTCTCAGCTCAAAATCCTCAAGGAAGTGGTTAGGTACCTTTTCCCTTTCCCATAGCTCTAGAGAGGGAATGGGGTACAGGCAGGGCTATTTTGGGGCAGGAACGCACAGGAACGGAGTTCCGGCTGGCTCCCGAGTTGGCCACGCCCGGCAGGAACTCATTAGCATAACAGGCCACACCCAACAGCAGAAACTCATTAGGATTGGCTACATTAGGGGTGTGTGGCCTAACATGCAAAGGAGTTCCTGCTACAAAAAAAGGCCCTGGGTTTTGACAACAAACAAGGTAAACAGATTAACAAGCAAAAGGTGGGTGTGGCTGGATAACCACACTTCTGGTAACATGGGAATGCGGCCTATTATGCTAATGACCGGTGCTGTCAGGGGTGTGGCCTAATATGCTAATGAGTTCCTGCTGTTGGGCGTGGCCTATTATGCTAATGAGTTCCTGCTGGGCTTTTTCTACAAAAAAAGCCCTGGGTACAGGTATCTTCTTTAGGTGGGGGAGAACACACTGCCTGCAAGAGGTGCCTATCGTTGGTTGTGCAGCGCGGTTTTTGCGCAAGTGCCGATCTTTTAAGAATGTTCATCCTGTGAAAGCGACAACATTAGGTATTGGCAGCTATGTGGGAAGGGGCTGCATCCACAGAGCTTTTTCCCACAGAGCACCAAGGACCTCCGCACCTCGGAATGAGGAGGATGAAGCCAGTGGCTTCTTATAGCCCTGGGTTACAGATACGAAGGTGTAGGGATGGGGGAAGGGAGTCCCAGTGTTCCCTCTAAGCTGAGTTAGTGTGAGCTAGCTCACAGTTTTTTAGCCTCCGGCTCACACGTTTTTTGCCTCAGCTCAGGAAGGATGTCTCCAGAGCAAACTAACTTTTGCAGCGGCCAACTCGCTCGCTCACAGCTTTAATGCCAGTGGCTCACAAAGGAGAATTTCTGCTCACAGGGCACCACAGCTTAGAGGGAACACTGGAAGGGACAAAAACTTTTTCTTCTCATTTCTCCTTCCATTACTTGAGGAAGATGGGGAAGAAATAGCCCTTTCCCCCTGATTTCTCTGTCTCCTTGGCTACAAATGCCATTCGAACAGTGTAGTGTGAAGCCCTGGATAAGTATCTTTTAAGTGGATCTTTTTCTAAATTGGCTTTTTTAAAAATAAAGAAATCTTGTTTTACAGACATTCTATTTGCCATTTATTAGTTTTAATATTTCATTCTTGTTAGCGGTTGTTTTTAAATATTTTTGTCATCCTTGAGTCTTTTTTTTTAAACTCAGACTATGAATGCTATAATCAAATAAATAAATTTCTCACCCCCATCCTGCAGCTGGCAATGTATATGCCATTCGTCAGCTATATAAAACTCAAGTACTTAGGCCAAACTGATTGATGGTAACTGCTATAATCTGATCCCGTACCCAGGGCCAGCTAAACTGGCCATCAGAGAGTTAAGCAACAAAACCAACTGAGTTCAGTGAACCCAGGTCCAAGCTAGACACTGTGTTCAACATGTAACCACCACGTGGGACTCGCGGCAAGATGGCAGCTGCGAGTGCCTTCTGGGAACTCAATTCTGCAGCACATGGATCCCCAATTCAGATTGGGACTCTGGTGGTAAGGCTTCAACCTTCAGGACTGTATCATTTGCCCCCTGCACAATTAGCTTACCAGTACCCATGCACACACATCCCTCCAATGATGCATTTGTTTGTGGTTACTCATTTCAACACACAAAGTCACAGGACGGCAGACACAGGGTTAGATCTTATGAACCATGGATGAAAGGAGTTCTTTTTCCTGAAGCTTCCACCCCCCCATATAAAGCTGCCGCAGAAAGGCAGGGGAATCTTTGGGACAGAGAGGTTTGTGGGGGTGGGGGGTGAGAACGGCAAGGCTTCAGGGAGAGATCAGTGGAAACCACACACTTCCTTGCGCAAACCCTTGCTCAGGTGTGGAAAAGTGCTGGGCCCATAACCTATTGGAATGCTTTAACTGGTGTGGTTAGTCCAGTTACCACTAGTTAGCTCATGGAAGATCAGAGGGAGTGATACCTTTCAGTTTCCCCTTTCAAGTTGAAACTGCCCCCTGGACTGCTGGGTCTCTAAGGATGCTCTGGTTCCCTAGAACACTGGGGGGCAGGGGGGCACAGGAGCCTGCAAGGAGGAGGGACCTGTTCTATAAGCTCTTTCTCCTCACAGCTCCTAGGACCCAAACTCTAGTCATTTCATTCCTTAAATTCAGTTTGGAGGGAAGCGATTTTAAAACCTACTTTTCTCAAAAGCCCGAATTTTGTACAAAGAGAGACTCCTCTTTAAAAAGTTCTTGCCAAAAGAAAAGAAAAAAGGAAGATGTGCCTGCCTGGGCCACCCATGCCTAAAACGGAACATTCCACACCGGCTGGGTCTCCGTTCCGTGTCATGCACCATCAGGCTATGACTGACCTGTTAATGACGGTGCTGTGAGCTAACGATTGGTTGGTTACTCTGTTTGGCGAACTGTCACATGAACTTCCAAAGGAACAGTTATATATACCACAGGGAAGATTGGAAAGGAACAAAACAACCTTTCTCCATTAAATAAGATCAAGGACGCCAAAGAAATAGCATTTCAGTGAATGGTGTTTAGGCTGCCAACCTCCAGGTGGTGGCTGGAGATCTCCTGCTATTATAACTGATCTCCAGATGACAGAGATCAGTTCACCTGGAAAAAATGGCTGCTTTGGAGGGTGGACTCTATGGAATCATACCCCATTGAAGTCCCTCCCCTCCCCAAACCCTGCCCTCCTCAGGTTCCACCCCCCAAAATCTCAGGTATTACCCAGCCCAGAGCTGACAACCCTAATGATGTCCCATGTTTGTCTTTCACTGGGAAAAATGTCGTTTGGTAGCCACTACCTGTGAGGAACAGTAGGCCTGTTTAAGGTGAGCTGTCAAGTATATGTATCATTATAATATTATGTCTCTCTCGGTTTGCAGAAATGCAAGTAAAAATAGAACCTTCCATTAGTTATAAACTCTTAAATCAGAGTCAGACCCTAGGTGACAGGTGCAGACAGATACAATCCAGACTAGACATTTGTCCCCGATGTGACCAAATTTTTCAGAAGCTTGGAGTATGGCCTCTCATTGGTTTCCTTCCCATCCAAAGGATTACTGCTGCCCACAAAACCACTTAAAACTATCCATGCATGCATGTAAACTGACTCACGGCCTCACCCACAATCCAGTAAAAATCAAAATACTTGGAAGCAAGCCTCTTTCGAGCAACTGGAAAAGAGCACCAAACTCGCTCTGCTCCCAGTATTTTAACTTAAATATGCTATATGTCAATCTGTGGGAGGGAAGGCCGCATGGTATAGCCCAGTCTCATCAGATCTTGGAAGCTAAGAAGGGTCAGTACTTGGATGGGAGACCACCAAGGAAAACTCTGCAGAGGAAGGCAATGACAACCCACCTCGGCTTCTAACCTGCCTCGAAAGCCCCTTGCTGGGGTTGTCATAAATTGGTTGCAACTTGAAGGCACATATGTATGTATGTATGTCAGTCTGTGATTGCCACAGAAGCCAAGAGCTCCAGTTCAACATGGGAACTCTGAGAGAGCTCAGGGGAAGTGTACACTGTGATGGACAACTAGCTGCCAATGCATTATACTGGCCTGGGAACTGTGGGTTCAAATGGAATTCTACTGTTGACCTGAGGGAGGGGCAGTTGAGAGATGGGGGGAGTAGAGGGAGGAGAAGGAGAGTGAAGGATTGAGGAGGATCCTGAAAGAGGGAAGTGAAAGCAGTTATCCTTCCATGAGGGAAATAGCTCCTAGGAAAGGGGGGTGATCCCTATTAAATATTAAAGAAGGAAAATTGGAACCTGTGTGTATATTCCGGTCTCCACAGATTTTAGAAATTTTGTGACAAATAAGCTCATGCCTGTTTATCTAAGCAGTGACAGCCAAGTGATCTCTCTCAGCAGTTACAAACACCTCTTGGTGGAACAAAACAGCTACATTCTTGTGACAATCTACTGTTTATAGTTATATGATGTTTCCCTCATTCCTGTTGCTTTTTCACCTGCCCAGTTTAAAACCTGCAACCTCCCTGGCAGTCTGATTTGACCATTCCCCTGTAAAAATTAAAGTAAAAGTAAATGTAAATGTGTGTTGTAAATTAGTATTAGCCTCTTACATACATAAGCAGACATATACCAATGCAGGGTTTTTGGTTCCTCAGCATCCTAGGCTGTATGTCAGAATATATGTTTTAAACACTTGGGGTGACAGACAGATAAACAAAGAAAAAGAAAACGGAGCTGCTCCACTAAGAAAAAAAGTATGTGAGGAACCGTCATATACATGGTTGGCAAAGAGGTCTCAGGTTCAATTCCTGATGTCTCCAGTTAAAGGATCTCAGGGAGGGCTGGGTATAAATTTAATATAAATAAATAAAATAAATGAGGTAGGAGACAATGGGAAAGAGCTTTCTCTGCCTGAGACCTCTGAGAGCCACTGTTAGAGAAGGTAAAACTGATCTGCATGGATCGACCATCTGACTTGTGATGAGGCATTGTCACAGGCACTGTTCCCTCTAAGCTGAGTGAGTGTGAGCTAGCTCAGAGTTTTTTAGCCTCCAGCTCACACATTTTCATCTTAGCTCAGGAAGGATGGCTCCAGAGCCAACTAATTTATGCAGTAGCCAAATCACTCGCTCACAACTTTAATGCCAGGAGCTCACAAAGTAGAATTTTTGCTCACAAGACCCCACAGCTTAGAGGGAGCATTGGTCACATGCAGGGCTCTTTTTGTAGAAAAAGCCCAGAAGGAACTCATTAACATATTGAGCCACACCCCTGACAGCACAGCTCATTAGCACATTAGGCCGCACCCCCATGTTACCAGAAGGGTGGTCATCCAGCCACACCCACCTTTTGCTTCTTATTCTGTTGACCTTGTTTGTTGTCAAAACCCAGGGCCTTTTTTTGTAGCAGGAACGCCTTTGCATGTTAGGCCACACACCCCTAATGTAGCCAATCCGAATGAGTTTCTGCTGTTGGGTGGGGCCTATTATGCTAATGAGTTCCTGCTGGGCGTGGCCAACTCGGGAGCCAGCCGGAACTCCGTTCCTGTGCGTTCCTGCCCAAAAATAGCCCTGGTCACATGTGATAGACATAGGGAGCTCCCTTCCATAAGACAATCCCATTCATTTCAATGGAGGAAACAGTTCTGCTGGGACAAAGAGGTGCACACATGCTCTCTTCACTGAAATGACCTCAGCAGCATGGGTGAGGGAAACAGAGAACACGAGTTGCACAAGAGCAGTGGACTGGACAGCTTTTGCAAGGTTAATAATTTCCTCTTCATTTCAATGGGCTCTCACAGGAGGAACTTCCTGATGGGTTGTGCCCACAGTGTGTAAATACCCTTTTTTTTGTATTCGGAGTTTGATTTGGCGGTGCAGGGGACTTGTCCCTGTGACAGTTCGTAGACGGGATACAGCTTCAGGTTAGCAGAGTGTATTTGTGAACAGTATTACACCTTTACGAAAATGCAGAACTTGAAAAACACACCACGGATTAATTTTTTTTTGGGGGGGGGGAACCCTACTCCCTACTGGCTTCCAGGGAGGAGAATAAAGAGAAAATGCACAGCTGAAATGAAGAAGAAGAAGAGAGAAGAGATTGGATTTATACCCCGCCCTTCACTTGGGAGTCTCAGAGCGGCTTACAAACTCCTTTCCCTTCCCCTCCCCACAACAGACACCCTGTGAGGTAAAAGAAGAAGAAGAAGAGATTGGATTTATACCCCGCCCTTCACTACCCAAAGGAGTCTCAAAGCGGCTTACAAACTCCTTTCCCTTCCCCTCCCTACAACAGACACCCTGTGAGGTAAAAGAAGAAGAGATTGGATTTATACCCCGCCCTTCACTACCCAAAGGAGTCTCAAAGTGGCTTACAAACTCCTTTTCCCTTCCCCTCCCCACAACAGACACCCTGTGAGATGGGTGGGGCTGAGAGAACTCTGACACAAACTGCTCTTTTTCAAGGACAGCTGTGCCAGAGTTTGTGACTAACCCAAGGTCACATCAGCAGGTGCAAGTGGAGGAGTGGGGAATCAAACCCGGTTCTCCCAGATTAGAGTCTGCACACTTAACCACTACACCAAACTGCAACCGTCCACATGAGAAAGCTGTTGCCTACCTGTCAATACTTTCCCCTTGTTCCGATAGTATACAGCAAGGACGACAATGCCGACCAGGGCAACAAGAAGGAGCGGAGCAACCAGCATATAAAATAATTGGTTTGTTTCTGGAAAATGAACAAAAAAAAATATCAGAGCAGCCTGTAGTGAGCTTATAGGGAAATAAGCTTTTTATACTAACAGCTGCCAGACAGCTTAATATCTCATTTTTTAAAAAAGAAAACAAACGAATATAGACAAAACCATTGGAGCTCTGTTTGGTCTTTCATTGTTAAATTTCATGTTTGAATCAAATTCTTACAATTCATGATTAATTTGGGAAGTCCATCAGACAAAAGTGGAAACGACATTACTATATCGCCAGTGTCCTGCATTACCAGTTTAGAGTACATGCAAAGATAAAGATATGGATCCTGCCTAGAATTTCTTTTTTTTTTAACGCCTAAACTTTCTGTGAGTGCGGGGGGGGGGGCGGCAATTTTTTTTGCTGACTCACCTTGTAGCAACTCCCCCCCCCCAAAATGCTGCTCTGAGGGGGAGGGGAACCCCAGCCATAACATGAGGGAGAAGTCTCATGGCGGTGGGGTCAGTGAAAATTGCCACGTTTGTGAAAATTCTAGTCAGCATCCAAGGCAGTGTTGCATAAACCCTGATTTGCCAGAGGAACCCCCAAGCCACTGAAAGTAGGGGCTGTCCACTGGAATATTTCTAAACTGAAATTATACCCCAGATTTGCTCTTTCTTTCAGTTTGGGAATATCCGAAATGGCCAAAAGCACTTTAGAAATTTGCATCCCAAAATTACTGAATTTTGGGGGGGATGGTAGTGGTTATTTCAGCTTGCGTTGTAATCAAGGGGGGGTAAACTTGGCGTCAGGAGTCAGGAAACCAAGGCTTCCGCCAGTGTTTCAAGTGGGCCACGGACCACACCAAGTCTCCTGCCCATCGAAAACAGCAGCCACTCACCTGGCCTCTGTCTAGAGCCGAGGCCGACCAACACTCAACATTCCTGAATGGGAATAAAATTACCTGGCATGGATTCCAAGAATGATATCAACACTACTGAAATTTTGGGTGTCACGCCCGTGGGCGTACCCTGGCTTTAGAGGGGCGTTGGCCGTGGTTGCTGAGAGTACTGGAGGAAACGAGAGCCTCAGATATGAAAAGGGAAGGAGAGTTCCGTCACTCTCCTACACCCTTCTCTCGGGGTCGATAGCCGCCTCTCTACTCTCTTGCTGGCAGAGCCAATCGCCTCCGACATCCTCCTCGGCTCTCTTTACTTCCGTCCTTTTATACGCCCCCCGGCACTTTGTAAGCCCTCCCCTTTCTTTTCCCTGCCGTCGTATTGTGTCCTTCACCTGCCCATTCTGTCTTCCGTCGTCCCTATTGGGGGTTCCCTTCATAGTCCCGCCCTCCAGTGGTTCCCTCGATAGCTTGCTCTGAGCTAGGGAGCCCTGGGGAGCGGCCCCTTCCGGCACGCTCAAGGATTCCGTTGTCGCCTTCTGCAACGCCCTCGAATCCTCTTCCCTCAGCAAGCCTTGCCTCTTCCAGCTGCTTCTCCTTCGAAACCGGGCACACCCCGGCTGCGGTGGAGAGGAGTCCGTCTCAGCCTCCTCCCCCGTCTGTCCGCATGAGCTCCGTCTCTGCTGGCCTTGGCCGAGACCTCCCTCCCAGGAAGCCTCCCCCTCCGAGGCGTACTGAGGGTCCAGCGCGGATTGTGCCAGTCCCACTGCAGCGGCCCGAGGGACCGCGGAGGAGCCTGCGGTGGGACATTGGGATAGTTGTAATCATGGTCTTTCTGAAATACCGAAACAATATTAAAACAGTTTTTTTTTTTTAAGTGCAGACTCCTAACCGAAACTAATCTGCGGTCCATCAACTTCTAGTTGTGAAGTATGTATCTAACTTCCTTAAGATTAACATCATACTGCAGATCAGACATAACTCTGCTCCTATTTAAGACAACATCAATCTTATGAACCACAGAGCTTTGCTTTTTTAGCAATCTCTTACTATTACTGACCAAATATATG